TAGTGTTAATTTTGTCTGCAATGTGTTTGAAGAAGCCCTTTCTGGTGTCTTTGACCTCCCTTGCAAGGCTTAACTCCAAGGAGGCCTTAGCTTTCCTAGTTGCCTCCCTACATCCTCTGACCACAGTCTTGTAGTCCTCTCAAGTGGCCATCCCCTCCTTCCAAGATCTGTCTTTTTCCACTTGAGTTTGCCCATCAGTTCCCTGTTTAAGCATGTGGGTCTCCTGTCTCCCTTTCTTGATTTCCTACCCACTGGGATGCTCTGATCTTGAGCTTGGAAAAAGTGGTCCTTGAATAGAAACCAACTGTCTTGGGCCCCTTTACCTTCTAGTACCCTGTCCCATGGGATTTCCCCTAGCAATTGCTTGAAAAGGCCTGGCCCTGCTGAAGTCCAGGGTTGTGATCTTCTTGGTATTCTGTTCTTACCACACAATACAGATCAATTGTAACAAGATTATGAAAAGACTAGCCATATTTTCCAATGCAATATATTGTATATTGCATGCGGCTCAGCATGATGTCTGTCACTGACCTTTCACACTTTTATTTTTCGCCCACCTAAGCAGAAGGAATACCTGGTCTCTGCTCTCTGCTTAGGGCATTAGAGAATTAGGCTCAGTGATTAGGATTGCACCAGCAATAGTAAAAGGCCCCAGGTTTTGTATTGATCTAAAAGTGCTGGCCTCAGGACTTGTCTGGATTTGTCTAGGCTTGAGCTTTTTGTTGTTTTAGCAGTTGTCTAGCAGTCAGATGACTATTGCTTAAATATGATTTAGCTTTAGTTTAGCTGCATGGAACTGTGGTGTAACATATACTGCTAATTAATGAACTGTGGTCTAACACAGAGTTCTTCTGTGTAGGGTGAACTACCTATGAACCTTGAATAAAAATGTAGTGTCACGTAGCACAGCAGAGGCCCCAGGACCTTAATCACAAATCACAGTGACTACAGGGGCACAGCCTCTTGGAGGCAGATGACACTGGAAACTGAAAACTAAGAATAAATCTGTGCATTTTGACTAGACTTCTAATACTTTAATTACACTAACAATAATTTTTTGTGTCCACAGGTAAGCTGTGTTCCCTTTCTGTCCATGACTAAATTGCCTGTCCATGAATATGTCTCATGAAAGCATACATGGTGAATTGACTAATATAAAAAAACCCACCTTTTTTAAGGATGCTCAGAAATAAAATTTAAAATAATCTGAAAATGCTCTTAGACAGCAAATCTATTTGTTTGTCCATATGTGGCAGAAAAATATAGCTGTAGATATAGATATAGATATAGATATAGATATAACCTGTAGGAAAAATAAGATATTTTTATAGATATAACCTGCAGGAAAAATAATCTGATTAAATTAAAAATCTACAAGGAGTTTATAGAAATGTATAGTTTTAATTTAAAATCCTTCTTAATTCCCTAAAAGTAAAACTTCTTCCTTGCAACTTTCTGTGAGATAACTGTTAAAAACTTATTCAAATTCTGCATTTTTTAATCAGTTTTAAAGGGTGAGGGGCAGTTTAGACAGATGAATCAGCAGTGACCTTGCCCAGCTTCATAAGGAGATATACTTAGTTGCTCTCTCTCCTAAATCCTAAGGATGTGGGGTACAGGCTGTTCACCTCTGCCTAAGCTCAGGTCCCAAATGTATTGCCCAGCATATGATAATGGAAAGTATCTGTACCCATCACCTGATACCAGAAGCACCTTCTCCACAAGGGAAATATGTGCTAGAAAAGACCAGAGGTGGAAAGAAGAGGAAAAAAAATATTAATTTTTAAATATAGTTACTTGACAAATAGCAACAATTATGTTTACCTGGTTTTGATAACTGCTTAGAGATCCCAAGACATTATATTGTAATACTATTAGGGAAACAGAATGAATGTAGGTATATTATATTAATATCAGATAAACATTATTATTCAATGCTGAAACAAAGAATTAAAAAATACTTAATCTCTCTTCTGTGCTGAAGAAGAGTCTTATAAATCTCATTGTGCTTCCTTCCTGAGTATGGAAAATACAGTAATTTTATTCAATTCAGGATAATGGAGATGAATTAAATAAACCTTGAGCTGGATTTCCCAGTTTACTAAAGGAACAGAGAATATGTTATTTTTCTATTCCTTCCTGGCCACAGGCTTAAATAGGGACCAGTCTGGGATCCTCTACTTCCTCTCCAGTTTCTATGTGTTTCACTGGAAGTTTTACCAGTGCTGTTCCAGTGATTTCATTTTACAACGCTCAGCGATTCAAGCAAATAGGACTCTCTAATCTTTCAGTCAAAAGACCTGTCTGAGTCAAGAGCAAGCTATTTTGAACAGAAGTGAGCTCTTATCCCCAACAGATCCAAAGGCCACCATTCTAAAAGATGCTGTTTCACACTGCAGAGCTCTGCCCCGGCAGGTGTAAGTGGAGCAAGGCTGCCCCAGGTTCACTGCTGCTGTTAGGCAACACCACAACTTATATTTATAATTTTAGACTCTGATTCTTACATGGGCAGATTATGGGCTCACAGGGAAGTGTCTGAAACCAATAACAGTCATTCTGAAGTGTGATTATAATTTGAATGCTGATGATACTTTATAATTCATAATCAGTACTGTAAAATGAAAGCTGATAAATATTAGACATGTTTCCAGTATCTGCATGCTTTGTAAGCATGAAACTTGTATCAGAATTTTCATCAGGAGGCATGGTAGACAGAAACTTGTAATGATAAATGCCCATAGTTCTAACTAATTGAAAATTTTTTTATTTTCATACTGATTGCAAAATTATCTACTTTGGAAAACACTGTTTCTTAGGTAATAAAAAATTTAACTGAGTACACAGGAGCACAATATGATCAAACAGAAGCATTTGATGGAATATAAGGTCAACTATGAAGACATATCAGTTTGCAATGAATCACTTTATTTGTACACAGCAAATTACATAATCATGCAAATCATATTTAAGAAAAGTTATGTACAGATGCATCAGATCACTACTTGTTTATTTGGATAATACCAGTATACTATGTTTAAATCTCCTAGATCACCTTCAGAAGCTCTGAATAATTCTGCCCTTTAGAGCATTTTGTAGTTGCAGTGTCTCCTGGCCACTGTGTCAGTAGTGGCATCCCTTGACTTCTTCCCTGTCTGTTCTCATGCTTTCAACCATGCCAGAATGCATGGTTTGAAATAGCCTTTCTAAGTCATCCCATGCACATCCATTTTATTTTCTCTTATAATTTCTGAAGCATGTAAAATAAATTCGTTCCTAGCCTTTTCATCATTACTTTTAGCCATTCATCTTGAATGATAACTGCCTCTCATTCAAACATATATTTTCTTGATATTTCTACTTCCTTTAGCTGTAACCATGTATCTAGCCGGTTACTTGCACTTAAAATTCTCTGAATCAAGCACTGAATATGTTCAGCAATTAACAGCAGATTTTTATACATAGTACAATAATGCAGATAACAAATACCAACAATTCTGTATTTTGTTGTGTTTTGTTTTGCAATTTTATGTTATAACATTACTGCATTGTCAGTCACTTTTCCACTATCTTCCCTTTTTGAAAGCAACAGTCTAAATTTGTAACTTTCTGGAAGATAACCCCAGACATGATGATCATACAAGGTGAAAGTTTGGCCATCCTGAAACAAATAGTCCTGTTCTTACTGGATTTCATGGAATAAAAGGAAGTGAATAAAAATGTAGCCCCCTTTTTGATGCAACCTGGAAGACATACAAGGTGAGAAAATCTGACTCACAGAATACTAGCTAGGTCCCAGTAAGAATGCTCTCCAAACCCAGGTTACCTGCCCAGGGAGGTGGTGGAGTCACCATCCCTGGAGGTGTTTAAGAGACGGGTAGATGTTGTACTTAGGGACATGGTTTAGTGGTGTTGATAGAGCTAGGACAAAGGTTGGACTCGATGATCTTGAAGGTCTCTTCCAACTGACACCGTTCTACGATTCTATGATTCTATGACTTGTTACAGTACAATATGACCAACGGCAGCCAGGTAGAGGTGAGACACAGACAAACAGAAGCTGCCTTGTCTGTGCTACAATGTACTTGGAGTCAGATAAAGGGCAGCATAAAAGCACAGATTTCTAACAAACTCCGTATACAAGCCCTCAAACTGGCCTTCAGAACAGACTTTTTACCAGCAATGTAATGAAAAGAAAACATAGAATCACAGAATCATAGGTTGGTTTGGAAGTGACCTCTAAAGGTCATCTATTCCAACCCCTCTGCAATGAGCAGGGACATTTTCAACCAGATCAGGTTGCTCAACAATGACCACAAATCTGTCGTCTCACAGAAGAGGTGCCATATCACTCTCATAACCAAAACCAACAGAACTGGCACTGGCATGCTGAAAATGACTCCAGCTTCAGCATGCCAAGAAAAGAGTTCTGTGCATCATTGGCCTCATAAATCCTCATTACTTGTATTTCCAACTGTATTTTTCTTAAAATAATATTAAACTGTCTAGCTTACCATTTTGTGCTCTCAGGGACACAAACTTGAGCAACACCATAGTCCTGACTGGAATCACACTCCTGAACCACAATTGTGAAGTGCTAAGATCTCTCTTCTGGAAAAGTATGGACTGCACCTTCAGAATACCTCTAAGACCTTCTCAGGTTGGAGAACATCCCTTTGTAAGAACCGTTGCTATGCAAGAAATGTTCAGGTCCCTGTCGTAGGGCCTTGGTTCCTTTTTGCCAGAATCACTTACCTCCAACTGTATAAAATTAACACCAAATGTCCTGCCACTGTGTAAGTTTTCAAAACTAGGACACAACTGGTGAACATTCTTGTGTTCACTTTTCAAACAATGTCTTACAGGGTTTCTCTTCCCACACTGGAAGACCAGGAACCAAAGCCACTAGAAGATTGTACACGGAAGGTCACAAAGATAATTTCTTTTCAGGTGACGCCAAGTTCCAAACAGCAATTTCTTATATATTTATTGAATTTATTTTTATTTAAATGAACAGATTTTCTATACCCAGTAGTAGGTTGGGTCTGTGTTTGTCTTGCATGTTACCAGAGAACTGTATGAATCTGCTTCAGTTCACTTTGTGACCAATAGTCTATTCAGTTTTTCTGCCTCGTGTTCAATTAGCTACACTTGCTCCATTCTGTAAATCTGATCTCAAGTTAATGGGCTCTTCAGAAGAATGTCATTTTATTCACTGTTTTTAATTACTTTTAACTTTAATTTCTGACTGATTTGTATTTTAGCATATCAGACGCTTCAATTCTTGGATGAAGAAATGCCATTTAAAACTTTAATTTACATAGATAGGTATGGGGAAAAAATATTGAGATTCACAGTTTGGTATAAGAAAAAAAAAAAAAAAGAAAGAAAAGCAGTATTGTTTGAGCAATTGCATACAGATTTAGCACAGAGAAACAATCCCAAAACCTGAGCAAAACCATACTTCAGAAAATTACTTCAGATACAGAACATTGGAAAAGATTGAGATCTCCTGCCAAAAAAGTGAGCACATCAGTAGTAATCCAAGCAGCAGAAATTCTAATAGTCAAGCTGTCAAATCTGAACAATAAGGAACACCTTTTTTATTTAGGAGCTGTTCCTCATAATCACATTTAATCAAGCATTCTCTCTATTAGCATAATGTCTTCACAGTGCTAGGGATAATGCTTTGCCATTTTCAGACTTTTTTCCTGCATTAAGGAAATGCTTCTATCAAGTGTCTCTTTACAGTGCTAAATAAGAAATTTTGTCTTCAAGAAAGCACAAAAACTCTTTGAAAGCTTGCCCTCACTGGCAAAATTGAAGACTTTCTTCTGAGCCAATGGGAATATGCTTCTCTCCATAAAATGTGTCTAGCGGGTGGAACCCAAATCCTTAGCCTGAAGGTGTAATAATACATAAAATTATGGTGCTTTGGGAGACATCTCCCACTTCTTACTACACATTGTTTTAGGCAGGAGTGGTTGGCCCTCCTGTTGTGCTTCCTTGCCTCCACTCCCTGACTTATTTTGCATTCTGATGCAAAACTGCAAACAAAAGACTGACAGCCCCATGCAACACTTCTTTCCAGTTGTCCTGGTGCCCTGCTGACTCTCTGTTGAAGTTCACGTGCTGAGGACAGAGTATGTTACAAGATCGAACTCAAAACAGGCTTAAATAAAAACAGTATGAAAAGGCTAAGAAGACTTACTGGTATGTGGTTGGACTGACATTGATGCGGCATGGGTGACTTCCTGACTCAAACTTGCTTGCAAGAGTGACATTGTTCCCAAAGAGACAATAACGTGGCATTCTTACACCAACGACGCCGGCCAGCACTGATCCTGAGTGAATGCCTATCCTCATCTGGGAAAACATGAGATCCATGTCAGTTTGTCTCTCTTGTGCTGCCCAAGGTAATGTCATTAGCACCTATTTACAAGCCAGTCACAGCAACCTTTTCAAAGAAATAACAAATAAAAGAAGAAAGAGAGAAATGGAAGAAAACAGGCTCTCCCATTCTTCTACCTTAATTAGATGCAGTTAAAAAAAGAAGAACAAAAACATGGTTATTTTTTTACTAAAACTATTTTCTTCTTCTGTGCAGGTTTGCTGGAGACTAAGACAGTCAAAACAGGAACCACAAACAGAATAGGATGGGATCACCAAGAGTTACTGCAATATCAGCCATTTAATTACACAAATAGATACATTTGAGAGGGTTATTTTGGGCACCACTTCTAACACAGGCTTTAAAGTAAGACCCAAGTTTTCTCAAACTGGCAGAAAGAGTAGTAAAGTGGATTGAATGAATATGACAGTTTTATCTTCTTTGTATTTTCTTCTTCCAGACTCCTCAAGGTGTAAGGTCTTTCTCACATTGTCAGAGAGACAGTCCAACAGTGAAAATGCTGACGATTAAGGCACCGATAATTTTAAAAAGAATTTTATCCTCCTCAAAATAAGCAGGAACAAATCTCCAGCAAATTAAAAGTGACTATTCTAGCAATCATCTGCTGCAGGTTTCCGAGATGTGGCGATTACATTGATCTGTAAAACTTGGAGTCACCATCCTAATTTCTTTCAGAGTGAATAATCACAGAGAGATTCATTCTGCATACATTTCAGCAACGAATTGTGTTTGCCAAGAAAATAATTTTTACAAATAGGAAAATATTTTTCTTCTGTTAACTTTATAACATTAAAAAATGAAAAGAAGATATTTATATCTTCTGAGGATATTCTTACTCATAGCAACTGGACTATTGCAAAACATGAGATAACATGGTCCTTTCATTTACTTATTTCACGGTTATCACACTGTTTTTTTCTGTCAATCCATAACACAATACATATTTACTCAAATACAAAAAAAAAATCAGTTAGATTTTTTTTTATTTTAAGACAAATGCCAGCATTTTATAACCTTGATGCTTGCAAAGTTCTATAAGCATGTGGGATCTCACATTATTTCACTGACTATAGTTCTTCCCATGTGTTCAAGACTTTTACCATGCAGCTACATACCCTTTTCATCTTGTTTCTCTCTTATATGTCACAGGCAATGGGTATAGCATTATATCTGCTATACGCTAAGGCCATGCATAACCTAAGAACATGTCATTCTGCATTCGATGTGATACTACTTACAGTATCACTGTAAGTATTCTCATAGGCAACATAGAGATGTCAATCTTCACAATAATGCTGTAAATTACAGATCAGGATTTTTTTTTAAAGAAATTCTGTGCATAAATAGCACTCAAACTTAATTTCAAACCTTTACTGCAGTTTGGAAGGCAGCTATCAAATCCTTCAAATACTCTATCCTATCGGCTGGGAAGCTCCCACAAATTTGCTTTGGCTGTGAACATCTGTGCAAACCCATTTCACCTGCATTATTTTGGTCATATATGGGGACATGAAGATTTCCTGCTTTTGCCACAACATACATTTAAACTCCACTGTTCATTTCCAGTGAAAAAAGTGCTCCTGCAGTCAAGAAGTGAGCAAACAGCCCTTCTGCATATTAGTGAATTCAATACCTGCTGTCAGCAAAAGATCACAAGCAGAAAGTCTTGCTCACAGAACAGCAAGTATGCTGCCAGCTTTCAATAAATAATAAAGAACTTGTTTACAATGTCGGTTTTGTGAGATGGGAGAAGGATTAGTCATTTTGTACACAATTTTAAGAACAGAGCTAATGCTACTCTACACATGTAAGAATCACAAATAAGCCACTTCCTGTAACTTCTTCTAGGGTACTTTGAATCACATGTGAAGGCCAGATTGAAACTATAACAAAAAGCACTAGCTGTTGGAAACTGGAAATAAGACTACACATTAGAGTGGAGGGAAAATCCGGTAGCAAAAAATGTACTAAGAAAATAAAATTTACTTTTGCAATACATGCAGTGAAAGCTAAAGTTGTTGGTGGTTGTTTTTCTGCTTTCACTCTTGAAGTGCTTCATTTTATATGTCCACATAGGTTTTTTATCATTCAGTACTTCAGTGACAGAGGACTTCCAAACTATTTCTAAATCCATCAGGATTTCCAGATTCTCAGTAGCAAAAGTTCAAGCTCTCTTGAAGAACCCAAACCCCACTCAGACAGTAAATGCTTTCAAGATATTTTCTCATGATTGTCTCAAAAAACCACTGCGGAAATGGCCTTTGTGTTTATGATTTTTCTGCATGTGTCAAGGAAACCAGACATTACACTGTCAGGCTTGCTGAAAAAAAATACAAGCTGATATACCATGCTTAATATAAAATACTTTCCTCTGCAAGGTTACATGAATGAAGCTACAGCCATGTCAACTTCCACAGAAAAACTGAGGCTGGGAGTAAAAATAAATCCGTATTTAAAATTTCACTCAGGAGTACATAGATTAGGTCTTCTGTGAACTGCTTGACTTTCAGAAGGGATGAGACAGAAGAAAGAAAACAGCTTTTCTATTTAATATAGTGTGTATCTAAAGAGATTTTTAAAACCCTTGGCTTGGCTGAATACATAACATTTTTTGTTCCTCAGTATCTTCGATATTTTTTAAAAAACATGCTCCTACAATAAAAGAGGTAGATGGTCTCACAAACACAGGTTAAACTACATAGAGCTACTGACAAGAGTGTCAAAACCTGAAGTTTTCACTGGGTGCAGGAGAGTTAGTGTGGGTTTTCTCACTAAATCATAAATGTCTGATACACGACAAAATTACACCAAAATGTCTTGCAATAAAGCTCCACTTCTGCTTCATTATATGGTTCTCTACAAGAAAAAGCCTGCAACACTGATGCTACTGCCATGAAGTATTCCTTAGTGTATCTTATACTAAGAATAACCATTATATTGGTCATATATAACTTTGTAGTGAAATATGCTTTTCATAAAAATGTCCTTTCAAGATTTTATTTCATCCACAGGTAACTTATTCTGGCTTTTTCCTCACTGCATTGAAAACTGTTAACAGTTTAAGGTTTTTTTTTTACAAAGGAAGAAAATGCGCGATCAAATTATTAGCAACAAGACACTTATTGGGGCACACTAACCTCTCACATTAACTTTGCAGCAAAAGAAAATCTTCCTAGAGAACTTGACTTGGAACAACAATAACAGTTACAGATGTACAGTTATAGTTCCCAAACTATATTGTATATCCATCACTTATCAGTGCTTTCCCAGAACAATTACCATTAAAGATTATTCATAACACATGAAATGCAAATTAGGTGGCAATAGGATGCATTATTTGTCTATCATAACTATTTAGTGGTTTATGCCCTCTAATTATGTGTAATATACATTAAACATATATTAACTATTTTAAATTGAACATATTTAATAAAATGCATGCTCTCCATCTGTGCCGACTGCTCCTTTATCTGTCCCTAATTATTTGGCTAAAGATAAAAAGGCAGCATATAACTGAGACCAAAAGTTCAGAGGCATTATGCACACAAATGGAAAGACAGCTCTTTGGAAACTATTACAAAGAGACGACAGCTGTGGAAAAAAAACAAAAAAACCAAAAAAAAACAAAACCACCAGAAAATGCCAGAACCCCATAGTCAAGGAACAGTGAAGAGATGGACAAAGGCAGAAGACATTTCTAGAGCAAAATATTGAAAGGCACAATGGAGAATAAAGCATGAACAGGTGTGAAAAAGAGCAAGAGACCTGTTAGAATCCTTTTAGATAAAGAGGAACAACTCGAATGAGCTGCAATGGTAAGATTTAGAGTGCAAAATGACAAGGAGAAGAAAGATTAATCAATTTGATCTTTGCAGCAGCTGTGGTAATAGTGAGGTGGAGAAAAGATGATGCGAGTGTCTGAGGCACAAAAGCAAAGCAGCCTGCATTGATCAATGGAGGATGAGAGGAATGACATAGCTATGTGGAAACAAAAAGAAGCTTCCAAAAATTTCAAAGAAAATGTAGCAATATTTGCATGTTGCCTATAGGATAAGGCACAGGGAGCAGAAATGGCTAATACCTGAGTGACAGGAAGGATAGTGGTTTTGTACTTTACAATAGATAAAGAAGGTTCATAAGGAAAGATAAGGAGCACTGGAGCTACAGTCATCCTCTGACGGGTAAACATGCCAGCAGTGGTAGCAATGAGAACTGATAGTCCAGACTGGATTGAGGGTCAAATTCAAGAACAAATTGAGAACTGATAGTCCAGACTGGATTGAGGGTTAAAAGTCAAGAACAAACAGGAACAGGAATGATCAACATAAAAACATTTTGTTTTTCTGAACTGAACATTCTGTTTATCTGTTTTTCTGATGTAACGAATATTAGAGGAGCTGTGGGTTACCCGTTTACACCACCTCATTGCCAAAGCATATTTTTTTCTTTCTTATAGGTAAAAGTGCTGGGTTTAGTTTTGGTTTTGTGTTTTTACCTGCTATGCAGTTTCCATAAGTCCTAATAGCCCCAATGCCTTCTTAAGCACCACACTGAAAACTGCACACTTCCATCAAAATAAATCCTATTCAAAGTGAGACACAAGTAAATGCAACATTGAACTCTCATAACACGTCTACACTCACTTTATGGTGAAGAGGCAAAAATGATTTATAAAGAGTAAAGGAATGCAGTGGTGTGCCTGAATTAAATGTCATCATTGCTAATTTATTCCTTAATAGCTTTTTCTGTTAATCACTGTGTTCACAATAAGAAAATCCAGTAATTTGCTTAATGTTCAAAGCTTTGAGCTTTTTTTCTTCTAAAATCCTGTTGAAAAATGCATTTTTTCTTCCCTCTCCTCATTTCCCCACAAAATTTTTGAGGAAAATAATGTCTGATATTAAAGAGCGAGCATAAAGACACCATTCTACAGTCTGAGAAGTAGTAATTGTCT